TATGACGCAGAGTCATTGAGCTGATATTCCCTGGACCTGCTGAAACATGCCTGCACCCCACCATCTCGCCAGAGCCGTTTAATCACGCCTGCAAGTTCTGAAGTCATGACCCCTTCTTCAGCACTGCCAGCTAGGACAAATAACTGTCGGGCGTCATCTGCTCTGGCAGCTTCCCCAAAATCAATCTTTAACCGTCCCATGGCTCTTATGATTGCAATGATGGACTGAATAGTATTGCTGTAGACAACTACTTTATACTGTTTACATTCGTCCTCTGAATAGCCATCCTCATGAATGATTTTCATCTGTTTCACAATGGTACTTTTACCAGATTCTCCAGCACCGAGAAGCAGCAGCTTCACTTCTTTGGCCGCTTTCTCCCCGTCCTCCCGCAAGTTGCGGTCAATCATCTTGCTCCGTTCCACCGCCGCCTTGTCCTCGGCGCTCAACGTGCAGCCCATGGCGGCGGCGGGAGAGGGGACCGGGCCCGGGCTCACTCACACACCGCGGGAACCACGACTACGCCGGCTGAGACGCGTCTTCGGCTGGGCGGTGGCCTCCTCCGTCAGCTCCCCTTGCTGAGTGTATCTTACCAAGCAAGCACACCACAGTTTATCTGTTCTGTAGATGGGAAGGATTTGGCAGCTTCCATTTGTTCAGAAGAAGGGAGCTGCCGTGAACATTCTCGTCCGTGTCTTTGGTGAATTTGTGGATGCATTCCAGCTGGTTAGGAGTACACATGCAATGTGTTCATTTGAAACTTTGGGGATAATGCCAAACATATTCTTACACTGACTGTAACAATTTACACTCCCACCAGCAGTGGAAGAAGCTTCTATGTGGTTAATTTCTCAAAATACTTAAACTTTCCTAGAACACAGAAAAAGATGAAAAAAATTTAATAGATACTACTTTCTTTTTTTAACTTAAGAAAATTAAAAGTAGACTTAGGCATTTTTACTTTATGTGTTTTGCCTGTCTACACGTATGTACATCATATGTCTATTTGGTACTCGTGGAGGTCAGAAGGGAGCGTCATATTCCCTGGAACTGGAGTCACAGATGTTTCTGAACTACCATGTGGGTTCTCGGAATCAAATCCAGGTCCTCTGCAAGAGCAATAAGTGCTCTTAACCACTAAACCATCTCTCCAGCTGAGCTATTACTTTTTAAAACATTTATTTACTTTGCATATGTGTACTAAAATATGATAATATAGGTCATCAACACCTAAACCTCTAACATTATTTCCATTGATGTTACATTAAAAGATTAAACGAGGGGCTAGAGAGATGGCTCAGAGGTTAAGAGCACTGACTGCTCTTCCAGAGGTCCTGAGTTCAATTCCCAGTACCCACATGGTGGCTCACAACCATCTGTAATGAGATCTGGCACCCTCTCCTGTCTACATAATAAATAAATCTTTTAAAAAAAAGATTAAACGAATTCATTTCCACAGTTCTGGAGGGAGGAAGTCCTAGATTAGTGATTTAGTTTCTTTCCACTTCTGTGATAAAAACACTGGCCAAGCAGCTCATACTCCATCATGAAGGGAAGTGAGGGTGGAAACACAAAGCAGGAACCTGGAGGCAGGAACTGAAGCAGAGACCTCGAAGGAATGCTGCTTAATGGCTCGCACTCCTGGCTTGGTCTGTTTGCTTACTTATACACCCCAAGACCACTTGTCCATGTCTGGTACTGCCCACAGTGAGCTGGGTCCTTCCACATCAATCAAGAAAATGTCCCTTGCCTACAAAGAAGTCTGATGGGGGCATTTTCTCAATTGAAGTTCTCTCTTCTCAGAAGATTCCAGCTTATGTCAAGTTGACAAAAAAAATTAAAAAACCTGTCAGCACAAAGGAAAACTATGTTAATGCCATCTATAAACACTAAAGAAAATATTAGTGTTTAAAATATTTAAAGACACTGAAGAAAATATTAGCAAACAAGAACTACAAATACTTCTTTAAAAAGCCAGACCAGATTGTGTTTATTTTAGTAGTGGAAACTAGATAGTCTATTAATGTAATACATTAAGATTAATATTGATTTATCAATATTATTACATTGCTATTAATCCATTAAATATCTGTTAATTCACTGGCATTGGGAATAGAATTCATTGATATAATTAATTAAAATAGAAACTATAGTATTCTATTTAAAGATTAAAGGAGAGAAAACTTGATTTCTGGGGCTGCCAGACGAGCAGTTGATCTTAACTTCTACTTCTGATAAAAACTCTAGAAACCCTCCCCTCGCCCCTTGCTGCCTGTAGCAGGTGGGGGACCTGACCCGACCCCTCACCAGCTGCAGCAGGTGGGGGACCTGGCCTGACCCCTCACCAGCTGCAGCAGGTGGGGGACCTGACCCGACCCCTCACCAATTGCGGCACTCAGGAGAACAGGCCCCACGCCTGGCCTGGGCCACACAGTAGAGTCGATGCTGTAGATTGGGGTACGGATGAGCCAGCCCTGAGGGCGTGAGAGGGGCACAGCTGGTGCCTCCTCCCTCATCGGCCCTGTGGTGGTGGGCGCTAGGGAAAGATGCCCTCCTCCCTCCCCCCTACTGCCTCCAGCTCGCAAGTGAGCTGACCCTCCCCGTCACCAGCTGCAACACCCGGGAAAGTGGGCCCTGCACCTTGTCTGAGCACAGTGGAGCTGACACTGTTTACTAGGGACATGGGTGAGACACCCGGCCACCTCCCTCCCAGAATGTGAGCGTGAGAGATCTGATCCACCCCTCATCTGCCATATGGCAGCATGTACAGAAAGAAATACCCCCCCACACACACACACACCCATGCCTGAGGTGTGAAGGTCTAGACTTGACTTTACAGGATCCATCTTAGGGAAAGGGCCACCATCTCAGACCACCTACTGTACTCAGTTCCAGGAAGGACCTCAGGAACGTGCCATGACAACTCAAATGGATACAGAGCAGTATCCTTCTGCGGACGTCCTGTCTGTGGTTTATGGCCCTTGAAGATAGCCAGATAATCCTGCTGAATGGTCCAGATGATCCTGTTCAGTGGGTTGTGGTTCCCCAACAAAAAGTCTAACCCAATGGTTTCAAATGTGGTTTCTTGCCCAAAGTCTAGACCAATGGTTTAAAAAAAAAAAAAATCACCTTGCCTCATATGCCTTCTTACCCAATCCCAAGTTGCCAATTCCCAGCTTGTGGTTTTTTCCTATAAAAACTCTCTACACCTGGGCTCGTGGCCACGGCCACATTTCCTTCCATGTGCTGTGCGGTGGCCAAGGTTGAACCTGAATAAAAGGACCCTTATGTGCTTGCATCGGTAACCGGCTCCTTGGTGGTCTCTGGGGGTTTCGAGAAACAGGTACAACAGAGGCAGGTGTGGAAGAGCTGGCCCGCCCCTCACCAGCTGCAGCACACAGGAAAGTGGGCCCTGCACCTCGCCTGGGCAGCACAGCAGAGCTGTCCCCATTGATGGAGGTATCGGTGAACCAGCCCCGAAAATGTGAGTGTGGGAGATCTGGCCAGGCCCCTCGTCTGCCATATGGTGGTGTGGGTGGGAGAGAGATGCACCCCCCCACCCCCCCATGGCCTGTGTCAGGTGGGAGAGATGGCCCTGAGGTCATAAGAGCAGGAGAGCTGTCTTTACCCCTCACCAGCTCGGTAGAGTGGCCCCTGTACCTTCTCTGGGTAACACAGTAGAGCTGGCCCTGATGGTCCAGGGGTGGGGGAGTCCACCCTGAGGGCAGGAAAGTGGGAGAACCGGCCCCACTTCTTCTCATCCCTGCAAAGGGTGAGCAGGCTGGGACAGTGCTGGAGAGCTCACCCTGGTGGTGAGGATGGGGTAAAGCTGGCGGGTTGACCAACCCTGCAACTAACTAGCCAGGCCCAGAACCAGGGTTATGAGTTAGCCCACCCCAACATCCACCCCGTCTATGATAGAGCACGTGAAGGGGTTGGTCCTGCAGACCCAAAGCTTCAGGATCTCTGTGACACAGGACAACAACAGGATATCCAAGAGGAGGCCCAGTGAGGGCCCAGCATAGATAGTGTAGCAGAAACCAGAGGCCTCAGACCACACCAGTGATCTTTGCAAGGAACACTTGCAGGTAAAGATACACAGATAAACGGGTTTACTGTGGGACCCACTGTGTCACACTGTAACTTCCATGATGAGATTTTTCCTTTTTTTTTTTGTTTTCTTTTTTCTTTTTTTTCCTCTTAAATTTTATTTTATTTGGGGGGAGGGTTGCAAGGGCAGAGGGCGGATACGAAGGCATGGTGAGATGAATGGGATCAAGATGCTTTATGTGAAAGACACAAAGAATAAATAAAAAGAAAGGAAAAAAAAAACTCTAGAAACAGCCAGGGAGTGGTGACACACACCTTTAATCCACACTCGGGAGGCAGAGGCAGGAGGATCTCTGTGAGTTCGAGGCCAGCCTGGTCTACAGAGCTAGTCCAGGATAGGCTCCAAAGCTACAGAGAAATCCTGTCTTGAAAAACCAAAAAACAAACAAAAACTCTAGAAACAGCCAGGCAGTGGTGGGGCACACCTTTAATCCATACTTGGGAGGCAGAGGCAGAGGCAGATCTCTGTGAGGCCAGCCTGGTCTACAGAGTGAGTTCTAGGATCGCCAGAGCTACACTGTTTTCTGTCTCAAAAACCAAAACAAATAATACATACATTAAAAAAATAATAAATTAAAATTGTAGAGATATAAATTTCTATGTGGCTCCCCTTCAATCTACCTTTCACATTCACATACTAACCTCTGGTTTACAGGCTATGATTTTTCTTCCCTTGCTCTTCCACTTAAGATCTGAGCAGCTTTGGGCCAGTTGCTTAACCATTTCGTTGATTCTCTGTGTGTAAAGCAGAAGCAACAGTATCTGTCTTACGTGGTAAGGATTCAGACTCTCAAACAGGGGCTGGAGAAATGACTCCATGGTTAATAGTGTTCGACTGGGACTTGCAGCTCACTCCTGCAAAACTAACTCTCTCTCTCTCTCTCTCTCTCTCTCTCTCTCTCTCTCTCTCTCTCTCTCTCTCTCTCTCTTTCCCCTGGAGTTGCCAGCAGCCCAACACCTCACCTAAAAGTGTGCCAGTGTGCCATACTTGGGCACAAACCCAGCTTGTGGTGGACACGTCATCACCCCTCGCCTGTAGTGCATTTAAGTGCCCTGCCTTAGATTGACCATGTGATTTTCTCCTGCCCTCTTCTTCCGCCTTGATCTCTAGGGGCTGGAGGGTCATCTGGAAGCTGCTTTGCCCAGAATAAACCTGGTCTTTTCCTTGTTTGTTTGTTTTTCGAGACAGTTTCTCCGTGTAGTTTTGGTGCCTGTCCTGGATCTCACTCTGTAGACCAGGCTGGCTTCGAACTCACAGAGATCCACCTGGCTCTGCCTCCAGAGTTCTGGGATTAAAGGCATGCCCTACCGTTGCCTGGCGGTCTTTTACTTTTTAATTCGGCTTGATCTGCTTACTGCACAGGCAGAGAAACCTGTTATTGGGGTACAGAAAACCTATTAAAGAGCACTGGCTGCTCTCCCAGAGTGTCCAGTTTGATTTCCAGCACCCATATGGCAGCTAACAACTATCTATAACTCCAGTTCCAGGAGATCTGATGACCTCTTCTGGCCCCTGTGGACATTACACACACATGGCAGACAGGCATACATTCAGGCAAAACATTGATATGTATAAAAGAAAAAAAGTGTTTTTAAAAAGCTGGATGGTAGTGGCACACACCCTCATCCCAGCACTTGAGAGGCAGAGCAGGCAGATCTCTGAGGCCAGCCTGGTCTACAGAGTGAGTTCCAGGACAGCCAGGGCTACACAGAGAAACCCTGTCTCAAAGAAAAAAAAAAAAAAAAAGATTCTCAAACCT